GGGTCTTCCACCCCCCTCCCCCGCGCGTCTCCCCCAGCGCCGGCGGCCAGGGCTCCCAGGGCTGCCTCTTCCCTTTCTAAACGTAGCCAAGACCACAGCCCGATGAGGCTGGGTCCTCTATAAGCATTTAAAGAGGGGGATGGCTTTCCCCACATGCTTGCATCCTGAAGAGACCAGATGGACTCATGAGCCTGGTTGTGTTGAGGGGGAGCTGACGCAGAAGGAAGCTGAAGGTGTGCCCAAAGGTACGCAGGGAAGCCTTCGCAGGAGGGCTGTGGGGCCGGGTTTCTAGAGGTGCGGCCCAGCGTGTAGCTCCAGCCAGCTTTTTACCTTTTTTCCTCTGCCTTTCGGGAGCCGGGATTTCGGGGGCAGGGTGGAAGGGGTGGGGGAGCTCCTGAGGAATTCCCTGCCCTTTCCCGTTAATTTCATATTGCTTTTGTTGTTGCTTTCTGTTGATGCTTTAGGTGAGGTCTGTCACAAATCCTACACGCAGTTCTCCAACCTCTGCCGTCACAAGCGGATGCACGCGGACTGTCGCACCCAGATCAAATGCAAGGACTGCGGCCAGATGTTCAGCACTACCTCCTCGCTCAACAAACACCGGCGCTTCTGCGAGGGCAAGAACCATTACAACCCGGGGGGGATTTTTGCCCCTGGCCTACCCCTAACGCCCACTTCCATGATGGACAAATCCAAGCCCTCTCCCAACCTCAATCACGCCAGCCTGGGGTTTAATGATTATTTTCCATCCCGCCCGCACCCAGGGGGTCTTCCGTTCTCACCTGCCCCCCCAGCATTTCCTGCCCTCACTCCGGGATTCCCAGGGATTTTCCCACCGTCTCTATACCCCAGGCCCCCTCTGTTACCACCCACGCAACTGCTCAAAAGTCCCCTCAACCACGCTCAAGACGCAAAGCTTCCGAGCCCCCTCGGGAACCCAGCGCTTCCTCTGATCTCTGCAGTCAGCAACAGCAACCAGGCCACTTCAGGAGAGGAGAAATGCGAAAGCAGCCTGGAAAGCTCCTACCTGGAAAAGCTAAAAGCCAGGAACAGTGACATGTCTGATGGCAGCGACTTTGAGGATGTCAATACAACCACAGGCACAGATCTGGACACCACCACTGGCACCGGTTCTGACCTGGACAGTGATGCCGAGAGTGACAGGGACAAAACAAAAGATAAGAGCAAACAAATTGAGAGCAAGCCGGATTTTGTCAGCAGCTCTGTGTCTGCCAGTTCCACCAACAACACGAGTGAGATCCCTCTCTTCTATTCTCAGCATTCCTTCTTTCCTCCCCCCGAAGAGCACCTGCTGCCTACCGCGGGAGCAGCTAATGACTCTATTAAAGCTATCGCCTCCATTGCAGAGAAGTATTTTGGGCCTGGCTTTATGGGTATGCAGGAAAAAAAGATGGGTTCGCTCCCGTATCATTCCATGTTCCCTTTTCAGTTCCTCCCCAATTTCCCCCATTCACTCTATCCTTTTACGGAGCGGACCCTCAATCACAACTTGCTGGTCAAGGCAGAACCAAAGTCACCCAGGGACCTCCACAAAGTAGGCAGCACCAGCTCAGAGTCGCCCTTCGATCTCACCACAAAGCCAAAAGAGATTAAGCCAATCTTGCCGCCACCTAAGGTCCTGCCAGCCCCATCCTCGGGGGAAGAACAGCCACTGGATCTGAGCATTGGCAACCGCATCCGAGCCAGTCAGAACGGAGGGAGAGAGCCGCGGAAAAACCACATTTATGGGGAAAGGAAGCTAATGGCAAGTGAAGTCTTACCCAAGATTTCGCAGTCTCAACTGCCTCAGCAGCCGTCCCTGCATTATGCTAAGCCATCGCCCTTTTTCATGGACCCCATATACAGGTATTAACATACCCTGCCTTAAGCGTTTCCTCTAACGAGCGAATTTTCTAGCTGACATCACAACCTGAGGCAGGTCGGGGTGTAGGGCGTTTAGAAAGAGCAGTGAAAGTCTGCTGCAGTCAGTTGTACTTCTCTCTCCTTTGTCACAGCACGTTGAATTTTCTGAATCGAAAGGGCTGAGTAATTGAATAATCAATATGTATAAAGAGCACATCCTTATTTTGATAAAGAAGAAACTTGACCTATTTAAGGACTCTCCCACGAGCCAACACTAAGATGGCACTTTTGCTGGGGAAATTCCAGAGGTTTGATTCGATAAGAATGCAGAGTTCAGATGCCTCGGAGCCCAGGCTCTCATGGCTTGGGAATGAGTCAGGAGCCCTGGGAGTCTGGAAATGCAGCTCTCCCACTGACTTACTTGATGGCCCTTTGTGAGCCACTTCACCTTTCTTCCTCCCCACCCCCCTTTTCTTTCTAATTTCTTTTCTGAGAGTTTGCTGGTTCCTAGGAACGGCAGTTGTGGACCCAGCCTTTTGAAACGTTTTTTAGGTCTGGAGTAACAAGTAGCGTGCAAATACATGGTAGCGTGTTATTACCCAGATCTCTGCCAGATACATTTCTTGCAGACTTGTCTTTCTTAGGAGATAACAGGGTTTTCTCATTTCACTTGAAATGGATGGTTATCAAGGAAGGCCTATGTAAAGCAGACTGGATGAAGTTACCCAAACTGCCAGAAGGAATGAATCCAGAAGATTGAAAGGGAAGACTTGAGTCTTTTGTTGTTTCAGAGCTTTTTCTAAAACCCGTTTCTAAAGGAAAATTATTTTAAGCTTTACGGTGAGGCTAGCAGTAAGTTTGCGTACCACCCATCCGGGCAGTGGCACTACCTTTGTTGTCTTCCTGCTACAGGTGAGCTGGATTTGTCACGTTTACTTGTTTTTAGCAAAGCCTGGTAAAAAGAGGTATCCCGGGCTAGCTTGATTTCACCCTTAACACGGCAATTAATTCTCCCGTAGCATAGGGTGCTTCCTGACGGTAATTTCGGTACGTGGGTTTGGCCCAGAGGGCTCCTGGATTCGGTGCCTTGTTCAACAGCCAGTTCCTGGAAGCGAGTGGTTTGGTCTTGTGTTACTTGAGCTAAACGCGAACGGTAACGCAAGACCCGAGTGCTGCAGCGTTGCGTAGTGAGCCTAGTTGTGCTCCAGCCTGCTGGAAAGGTAACGGATGTGCCGCAGAAGCTGGTGTTTTCTCAGCGCTGGGAAGACTCACAGGCACCGCAGAGCGGTGGTGTCAGCACTGGGATGGTTTGCTTGAGTGTTGCAAGGACTGCGAACAGCAACGGGCAGCGTGGCCTTCGCTGCCGGCTGGAAGAGCAGGCCAGGAGAACAGCACCTATGTCACTGCCTCGCTGCTATTGTACGGTTGATAACTGTGGGAAAAAATGATGTCAATGTCTAGCCAGGCCAAAGAACTGTCAGCTGAGATGAGGATTAGCGAGCCCTCGTTGCTCGCTATTAAGAAAGCGTCTCTCGCTTTGCCAGCGCTCTCAGGGTCGATGCTGTGTCGCTTGCTTACATGCTTACCATCTGTGATGGAAACGGCTACGTCGCAACCCGGGACGTGTAATGTGTTCTGTCTGGGACCCACCGTGGTCATCTCCTCCTGGAAAAAGAAGTAATGATGTAAACAGCCCAGGGTTTGTTTTTGTAAAGAGTACTTCTGGAAAGAACCAAACGAACGGGGTAGAAACGCAAAAGCTTCGCCTTAGCGTAGGATCCTGCCACCTCTGGGCATTCTCAGTAGGAATGTTAAAATAACACGGGCTGAAAAAGCCATTGCCAATTAAAACAGCAGCCTCGGGAAAACGGTAAAGGTCCAGAAGACAGATGGAAGTGAAGGATGGGGACATCATTTGTTGCATTCCATGGGATGCATATAGTTTTAGTAATATATTAAAATAGAAAGCCAGTGGTGGAGTTGCTTGCGAATCGGGCTTCTGATGTAATGAGCTAAACAGCAGAGCTTCCAAGTCCCAGCTTAAAAAATATGGAAATATTTTGTTTCTAAACTTCTCTTTATCAGACTCTCTCACACCATTTGGCTCCTTCATTTTTCTCCCAAAGGCCACTTAAATCCTTGGCATTTTCTCCTGGTGATATAATTTAACGCAGCCAGACAGCCTGAAATCAGTGCAGTTTTTAGCTCAGCCTTGTTAAGGTAACGTTCTCAGGCACTGGGCTGAAAAGATCAGCTTAATCCTCTGGTCCCTGCGGAATTCAGCTCTGACGAGGAAGTTTGTACGTTTGTTGTGTTCTCATTACCCGACCCTGGGAGACGGTGAAGCTGCGGGAAACGCTGTCGCTCCACGAAGGTTTTACGTTTCTGATGCAGGTGGGGCTGTCCCTCGAGACGCCCGCTGCCAAGGGCCAGAGGGCATTCCCCGGGCGTCGCAGCTGACCTCAGCGCGCCGCGGAGAGGGAAGCTTCGCTGGCCGGGGTGTTGCTCGCTGGGGTTTACTCTCTTATCTTGTGTCAGGGAGAAACTTTTTACGTCCCGTTTTACAGATTGTTGTCTTTCTGAAGACTCGTGCCCGTAAAAGCACGTACCTTCCAAAGCGCAGTCGCTCTGACTGCATTTCAAATCCAGCTCTTCCCTTTTCTTTTACCTAAGAAAAATTAAATGCAGATTAAATACGATTCACTAAATAGCACTCTGCATGACTCTTCTTTTAAACTCTTTGGTAATTTGATCCACACACCAATCAGCTGAAATGCAGCAAAATAATTTGCTCTCAGTTATGCTGGACTAATGTAGTTAAAATTACTTTCTCTTGGATTTCTGCTGCTTTAGCTGAGATGGACTCTATTCCGGTAATTTAAAGATGCAGCTGCATTTATTGGAGTTACTTTCATAACACTTTTTTCCCATAGAGGACATTTCGGTTTCTCTTTTCGGTGAATCCACACCACGGTTTCCCGTGACTTTGGTGAAAGCAAAGCCAATATTTTCAAAAATAGCCCAACGTTAGGATCGTTTCTGCATAGTAAGGCGCTTGAAGCATGGAATATGTGAACAGAGCAAAGTGACATCAGAAGAACTCGGGTTCCTGAGTCACTTCAGAAATCTCCTACCAGTTTTGAACTTTTAAAATTGTTGTCCACGTATGCCTGCCAAAGAAACGCAATGCAAATTGTATCTCAGCTGCAGGGGAGGAAACAAATATGAAACACCTAATGATTTCAGCACACTTGGGGCTGCAAAGTCTGGCCCAGTGTTAGCTCTTAAGATAAAGACAAACTCTCAAAGACAGGTTTTTTACATGCAGTGGCTGCCCGCTGTGGACTCTAGAGCTTCTCCCACTTCAACATTGCTTTTGCTGTAAATGTAGGTTTTTTCATGACCCTTCACGACAGCAGAGGCTTATAAACCGCTGTAGCAGAGGCATTAGTTCTCACATAGAAAGACTAAAACGTTTTCGTAGTCGTCAGTCTAAAATAATAATATAAATATTATTAAAATATTTATATAATAATGTATTTTTATAACATTTATAATAATATTTATA